AAACAAAGCACCACTATATTAGTACTGTTTTGACAAGGTTTAAATACATTTCATATAAACAACAACTACAGGTTGCATACAATTTCATAAAGTAGCTGCATTTTCACTCAATTAAATGGCCATATGTGGACTACTCCATATGCAAAAGCCATCTATTTCCTGAAGAGGAACAAGAACTTGGGGAAAGGCACTCATTAGCTGAACACAAGATCAGTCTGGACAATATAACTAAGAGTGAGCAGTGACTCATGGTTGCCAGTCAGTAGATATGAAATTGACTTGTTCATGAACTGCTCAAATATCCCTAACTCAATAGCCAGGGGCAATACAAAGCCAAGCAAAAGGAAAGAATCTGCAAATGCATCACTTCGCTGAATTAAGAAAGACAAAGAAATCCCAAGTCTTGTTTCACTTCAGATGTACAAGATAATCTGGAGAGGATTCTCTAACCTGTTATGCTAATTCCAAGCCTTAAGTAGTTTAACAGGAGCTGTTTGAGGTGTCAGGTGTTTTTTTTTTAAATATGCAAGCAAGCATATGCAACACATTTACATTACATAAATGCATGATCAGTTGGTTAAACTGAGTGGAGAATCTGGGGGTCTGTGGTTTTCTTTAGGTTTTGCTTCATCTTAAACCAGTTTCTTTGATGGTGACCTCCTTCCACTCGCTCAATTACATGAAAATTCTGGCTATTTCCTCCGCACTCAGAGGTAGAAAAACAGAAGGAATGTTAATAGCACTATACTATAATACCATGGATTTAGTTGCTTTATCACAGAATAAATAAAGTAATTTTAAATGACTTTCTGATTTCCAGTAGCTGTTATCACTTTCTCAGCACCAAGCACATCACTGAAACTGGCTAGGTATTGCATTACTGAAACAACCCAACCTTCCTTCTTCTGTAGAAAACAAACTTATGGAAGCAAAGGGCAAAGTCCCTTACAGATGTACTATTGAGTTTCACAGCGTTGAACTAACTCCCTGCTGCATAGCTACCATTACCCAATTTGTGACACTGCACTAACTCACAAAGAATTAGGTACCTACATTCATTTCATGGCAGTCCAAGAAGGCTTTTCTATCCTAAGCAGCTGACCATAGCCATGGTTCTTTCTCGGGATTTCTGTTGAAGATAGTATTTCATACATTAAAAAGCAACATACGTAGAAATGCAATGATTCAAGCCTGGCCTCTTCCAATGGAGAATCTAGAGAGGCAGTGCCTTCTCCAGAGATTACCTCATCCCCTGCAGTACATGGCAGGAGAGACAAGAGCTGTATACTCTATCTGGTTTCTCAGAACTGCCCTCAAAACATCTTTAACAAAAATATCCCCTTGCCAGATAGCAGATGCTGCTGTGAAGGGTTATTACAAGTGAAGGCAGAGTGCTCACCACATCACTGTGTCTTTTTCCACTAACAGTATGAGGCTGCAAACAACAAGCAACAATACTGAAGTTTCTCACACACAGCTCTACAGAAGAGGAGAAAGGAAAAAAAGCAGAGAACAGCAGCACCTGTTTTATCTTCACTGCTGAAAACTGAGAAATTGGAGTGCCCGCAGAAAGGGTGAGATCAAGCCTCAGAGCCTGTTAGCAAGGCTGAATGGTTTTGGGATGTGCTCAAGAATATGTGCCATTATGTACTAGTTGGAATTCAGACTACCAATTTCTGAGAAATAAAGGAATAGCAGCATTTGCAATATCCATTCCCAATAAAATAATAACTATAAAATTACAAACAAGATAAGATTTACACAACTGCTCTACTACACACACAATGGGAAGTACAAGTGGTTTCAAATTTGTTCCAAAGTGTCTGGGATAAGGGGGGGAGTGGTGAAGGGGAACAGAAAGTGGACTAATTGAAAAAGCACGAGGGCACCAGCAAGGCCAAGTGTGAGAGCCTTTAACTGGCTGTAGGTACAGTGAGAAAGCAGCATTAAAACTCCTGTTTCTGGAAACACAGCATATAGGAAAAGAGCTTCTGAGGAGTGCCTCAGGCTGCTACAAAGAAAATGGTAACCATTGGGCAACAGAGTTATATTTTAAAGAAATGCTGGTAAATCATTTGTATAGCTGTGCGTAGCCAGAGCTACCAACAATCAAACTGTCTATAAATGGGATCCAAGTATAAGTAATACAGTAAGGAAGCGTGCATGCTATATTATCAGGGACAATTTAAGAAATTTTCCGGGTGATTTTCCAAACACACACAACTGTGACAGTTGGGCTTTTTTCCAAATGAAAGAAAAATAAATAAATTAGTTTAACATCCCAAAAAAGTAAACGCATTTCTAGAAAGCTATGGAAGTTAAAACATTCAACTGCAGAGGTTTGCTATGTATCTGCACGGTGCTTAGAACAGGAATTATTCCAGCAGAATCAACTGATGAAAGAAAAAATAATAATAATGCAACCTTGCAACTTGGCAAACATTTAACCATTAATTGTGTTTATTTTCCTTGGTTCAGGAGAAGAACCTTGGCCTTTTACATACTGAAATAATACATAATGAGCCTGAAGTTTGTTTGGCACTTTGTAGAAGTGCTCCGGCTGCAGAGCTGACCTGTGCTTCAACACTGAAGTCCTGACTGGCCATAGGCTGCCCATGCTGCCAATTTAGCTGCCCGTGATGTGCAAACTGGAAAATAATACAAATGATGAATAGCTGTATGTACAAACCTCACCAGAAGTACTTGAGATAGGACTGTGACAGGTCCTGTTTGTGATCTCACTCCCACAAACCATCTGAAAAGAGCTTAACAAGTCCAACAGCAGCAAAGGGTTACAACAAATATTTCCTTTATTTTTCAATCTTTCACACAATAAAGAAAACCATGGCTTCACACATACATTTTTAAACAGTACTACAATTACAATTTATCAGAGAGAAAGATGCAACACAAACATTTATGATGGCCATGTGCTTCTATTTCTGTAAACTTCACAAATTAAAAATTTCCAATGGTGACTGAATTTGATTTATGTAAGGGAAGCACATTTAGAGGAATACAGAGGTTCCCTCTCTTTCTTCCTCCAGAAACACACCAAGTTCACATCACAGGTAAGATGCCTAAAAACGCTGAACAGAAAATGAACCTCGTGCCAACTGTTTGGTACAGAAGCAGTAGTTACCCATTTGTGAATAAACTGAATGAAACACAAAAAGTCCAACCAAATGCTATTAGACCTGTTGATAAGATTGCAGAATCATTCTATTTGCTATCAGATCTGAATTCATTCCCCTTTCCTAGGCACAGGCTAATCCTCACAATTTCCAGGATGACAGTTCATCATCTGATGCATTCACACAAACACGCAAAGTTCAAAACCCAGCACCCAGTCACATGTTATAGCACTCCCAACACAAGGAGCTCACTGACACAACCAAATCTGCTCCGTTACCATCACACCACAGCATCGCTGCTTCCTCACACTCAGAGCCACTCTGAAGGGGGCAGGGAGAAGGATGGAAGTGCATTAGGCCAGCTCATTAGTTTGACCCAGGGAAAACCATTTTCCATATTACAGCTCTGTAGTAATACCATCAACACTGACAAGTGATTTGTGCAGTGAAACATTAACATTCGCCAGTCTTAAAATACATACCAAATATGCAAAATGGAGACATTCAGATAGAGAGAAGCTCTTTAACAAACAATATGGTCAAGTTAAACAACAGAACCTGAGCTAAAAGCTGTGGCAGAAAGCCCCTTTTCCTCTCCTTACGAAGGTTTTAGAGAATCTCTGGTAAGAAAATCTTCCCATCTTACCTTCAGTAGAGTTTAAAATAGTTGTCCGTTCTCCTTATGAAATAAAATCAGCAGAACACAAAAACTGATGGTTTTCCTACAGCAGCATGAGCTGCATATTTTAATCCTCCAAAAGTTTAACTTACTCGTACCTACTGTGTACCTATTGTGGAGGATGAGGAAGTCTCTCCAGCAAAACTCCGTTCTCACTTTGTATTATGCCAACCCTCCCAATGCCAGGAGCTGGATTTCCCTAAGATAATTGTGCCAGTAACAGAGGAACCGAAGCTGCTGGCCCCAACCAGCCTAAAGCAGGTGGATACAAAACACCACTGTATCATGAGCACCAACATGTGTTCAGAATTAAGTTCCTATTTCTCTCACTCTCCTCCTCAAAATTTTGTTTACGACTACTGTGATTATACTCTGATGATAATTACGACACGTTTTCAACTGAAAAATACTCAGAGCACAACCGTCCTGTAACTCGAAGAGCTGAGCGACGCTGCTCGCAGAGCTCCAGCCTCACACAGCCAGTTCCAGGCGGGAGAGGAGTGCAGAGCCGCGAGGTCCCAGCGCACTCAGCCAGCCCAGCTCAGGAGCCCTGCCAGGAGCTCGGGGGGAAGCTTCTCGTGGTGCTCGCAGCCCGCTCAGAGTTAGAACTCAAGTTCAGCATTATGAGGGTGCTTTGATTCCTACGAAGTTGAAGCGTTCGCGGTCTAAGCACGTTATAAAGCCAAACAGCGTGGGACGGGACCCCAGCAGAGCCTATCAGGCAGCCCCCGCGCACCGGGCCTCCCACGCCGCGCTGAGCTGCGCTGCACAGAGCCGGCTGCGCGGGTCCGTGCCTCTCACCTCGCGATCCGCCGGCACCGCGCATCGCGCACAAGTTCTGCGGCACCGGTAACCACGCGCGGCGTCGCTTACCAGGCGGCCGTCACCCTTCAGGGCTGCCCAGCAGAAACGGAAGAACGAACCTCACACCGGAGTTCCCGAGCCCGTCGTTTAACCGCAGCTCCCGAAGCCGCGGCCCGAGGCGGCGCCCCGGGGCAGCTCCCCGCCGCCAGGACGGCGCCGTACGGCACACGGCCGCGCTCCGTTCTGCGCCGCACGGCGCGGGGGCGCAGCGGCGGAGCGCCCTCCGCCCGCCGGGCCGGGCCCTCCGCGGGAAGCGGCCACCGGGGCTCCGCTCCGGCCCTCCCCGCCGCCCGGCCCAGGCCCGCCGCCGCTCGCTCACGCACCCAGCTTGCCGCGGGACTCCTCCAGCTTCTGGATCTGGTTCTCCAGAAAGAGCACGGCCACCCCGAACACCAGCACGGCCAGCAGCTGCAACTTGGGCGGCAGCATGATCCTGAGCAGCCCCATCGGCAGCCGCGGCGGCGCCGCCCGCCCGGGATCACGACATAACGCGGGGCCCGGCCGGCCGGGCAGGCGGGAGCCGCGGCAGCCGCCGCTCCGACGGCGCGAGCGAGGGGAGGCGCGCGCGGGGCCCGCTCACATCGCCCCGGCCCGGCCCCGAGCGCCGCGCGGCCGCCACTAACGCGCCCCTCCCCCGCCTGCGCGCGCTGCTCAGCAACCGAACGCCCGGCCGCGCGCCCGCCCCCCCACCCGCCATCGGGCGGAGCCGCCTCCGCCCCGCCCCTCCCGACGCCGGATTGGCCGCGCTCGACCGACGCCCCGCCCGCCCGCCGCGGACCGTCCCCCTCCGCGCCCGTGTCGGGCCCGGCCGTCGCCCCGCCCCCCTGCGCCCCGCCGCCATGGGGCGGTGCCTCCCGGAGCCCTGCCCGCCCGCCCGGTTCGCATTCGGCGCCCGCGCCGCGGCGCTCGGGAGAAGCGCAGCGCTATTGCTCGGCAGGGCTGTCAATCGCCGGCGCCGGGGGCCTGCGTGCCGGTTGGCTGCGGCTTTCCGGAGCGGGGGAGGGTCCTGCCCCGGGGCCGCGTAGCGAGTGCCGGACCGGGGCCGGGAGGAATCTCCTCCGCTAGCCCCCTGTAGAGCACAGTACTGAGCAGCTAAAGTTGCCGTCGCTGCGGACTCCCCGCAGACGTCCCGCGCTGGCCGTTCTCGCCGGCCGTCTGCGATCCGGCCCGCCGCCCCGCACCAGGCAGCGCCGGGCGCCGCAGCGCCCGAGGTCCCCGCTCGGCCCGCCCGCCGCGCTGCCGGCAGCCCGGGTCCAAGATGGCGGCGATCGCCGAGTTGGCGGCCCTGGGGCGCTGCTGGCTGTGCCTGCTGCTGGGGCTGCCCGCGGTGAGCGGGGTCGGGGCTGAGCGCGGCAGCGCTTCCGTGCGAGGAGCGGGGATCGGGCCGGGCGGGAGGGAAACGCGTCCCGAGGAGGGAGGCGGAGCGGCCCTGCCCGGCCTCGGGGCGCCGCGCGGGGCTCCTGCGCTCCGCGGGAACGGAGTTTGCGGGCTGCCCTGACGTGCGGGCCCCGGGGCGGCGGGCGGTGCCGCTGAGCGAGAGCCCGGCAACCGGTTCCGGGCGGCGAAAGCCGGGAGCGGGCCTGAAGCCCGGTCCGAGGTTTTGTCGCTGTTCGGTCCTTCCTGAGGCGGTTTGTAACGGTGCTGCGATCGCTTTTATATGTTAAGTGTACGGGAGAACGCAGAGCCGAGGTGCGGCTCGGCTTGCGACGGGATGCCGCCTCCCGTGGGGCCCGCGGGTCTCGCCCAAACGCCAGCGCTTCTGGTAGAGTTAGCCTTATTCTGGAGTAGTGCAATAGTCAGGGCGCTAAAACTGGAGGAGAAATAGCAAGGAGAGATGGTCTTATGCGAATGAGAAACGTGGTTCTCCTGTCATCATCTGCTGGCCCAGAACAACGTGTTGGCTGCTCTGCTGTCACCGTTGCAACGTGCTGGTGTTCAGCTGGGGCTTCTCTGAACGCAGAGCTGCTGTAGGCCCTTTTATTGGAGTTCGCTCTCTTACCTTTTCCTGTTCTTTGTTTGTTTGGTTGGTTGGTTGTTTTCTACTTTTTGACCCAAGATCTTTTCACCCCATCTGAGAAGCACCTGGGGAGAGGATATCCTTTCGTTATGTCCTCCCTCGCTTTCCCCACGTGCAGCTGGAAGGAAAGGCTGCAAGCTGTGTAAACCAGGGACCGATCAGTCCTTCTGCATGGCAGTGGGAAGGAGACAGCAGAAAAGAACAAAGAACAAATGATATCATTTCAGTGCAGAGATGGCAACACTGTGTTATCTGCTCACTAAAAGCAGAATAGGTGTTCTGCCCAGGAGCCAACTGAGCTGCTGATGTTAAGCAGCTGCAGGGTTTTTATCTACACTTGCACTAGCACGTGATTTTTCCAAAGCAAAAAAGAAATGAAATCACAATCCTTCTTGTATACACTGTTCAGCAGTTTGATCCAATTCATCATTCCCAAGCTCAGCTGTAAGACTTATTTTCCAAGTCTGCTTCCAGTATCAGGATGTTTATTGGAATTGTCTCATGAGAGCTGCAGCTGATTCATTACATCTGTTTTTTTGTTGTTCTTTCTTTGGAGCAGACTCTAGAGAGACACTGGAGTGGTAGAAGCGTATATGAAAGTATATGATAAGGTATATGATACCTTAAAACATACACATTGTCAATGATGTCTAGAATTTACTATTAGCTTTAAGACTTCTCAAAATAAGGTCGTGATTTGCACTCATGAGCAGACTGTTGTTACAATAAACTGTTAGCAAAATATGTAATTCTTCTGATAGTCAAAGCATTTAAAAGTTTTCTTATTAAAACAACTAATTTAATACTAAAATGTAACGTATTGATTTACAGATAAACGTATATGGAGCACAGCTGTCATCAGAAGCTTGCAGGGAACTTGGCTTTTCCAGTAACTTGCTCTGCAGCTCTTGCAACCTTCTTGGACAGTTCAATCTGAATCAGTTGGATCCATTCTGTAGGCAGTGCTGCCAAGAAGAAGCTCAGCTGGAAAGCAGAAAGGTGGGTTTTAAAGATGAGTGGGAAGAAATTTGTCTTAATTTTTTTGTAATTTACTCATAGGTGTCAATTACGTTGTGTCATAAACATTTTTGCATTAATAAATTTGGATCAAACAAGAACAGAATTTAAATCAATAGATATTTTTTTTCTGATTATCCTGAATCAGGCCTAGATTTCATCTTGTAGATGATCGTGCTTTTTGTGTAAGACTGAGCAGGTGCCATTCTGTGATTAGGGCTTTACATTAAAAATATATGCAGCCTTTTCCATTTAGTCACGCTCAGCATAGAACAGAAAGCACAGAGCTGGAAGGAGTCTCAAGGTTGTTTGACGTTCCTTTGCAGTGAGCCCGATTTTTTTGTATGTGCATAGGAACCTGGAGATTGTTCAATAGAAGTTTGTTTTTTTTCTCATCTATTTGCATTACGTTGCTTGGTTTCATTTTTTGCTAGGGTTTTGTAGCAAACATGAGTAATTTGCTGCTGAATAGAAATATTGGATTGTTCTACCATCATGATTATATGGTTGAGTGCTAAATTATAGCATCATTCCTAATATTCTTTTGAATGCTGTTTCAGAGTGTGGAATTTCTGATATTATTATGTTCACGCACAGCCGCTGTTTGGAAATCTGTTGTTCATATTTGCTGAATTTCTGAAATTTGTGCCAAGTAAATCCCCCTGCAGACTAGCCAGCAGAAAATTAGTGCTGGGAGTTTTTAGCATGAATGTTAATATCTTAACAGATTGTATTCAGAGTCATCACATTTTGAATTGACTCGTGGTCTAACATAATGCCACTTATAATAGGCGTCTGTATCTGAGCTTACAACATTACTCTTAAATCTTTGTTCTACTGACTGTTTGATAGTTGGGAGTGAACAGATTTTTAAAATCTTAGAAGTGTTTTTCCCTATCCTTTTGCTTGAATGAATTTTTTAATCTTACTCTAAAAACCTGCATCTACATGTAAGATACCTGACTTGCTTGCCTGCTGGCCTCATCTGTTGCCGAGTTTCATAGTGGTGGTGCTCAGGGTTTTGTAGTGCAATCACTTAAACAATTGAACATCCTCAGAAGAGAAAAAACTTTAATCTTTCTTTTTTTTTTTTCTTTTTTTTTTTCTTTTTCAAGCATGCCTGCAGTACGCAGCCTAGCTTTTTTATCATGTGAGTAGGTATTGCTATCGCAAGACACCATGCATGCTATTAGAATTCCAGCACAGACTTCAGGATTTGCAGTTAATTCTCCTTAAAAGTATGTGAGGAGAATGAGAAATCTGGGATTTTTTCTATCATTAATAATTTTTGAAAACTATCTGTGAAATATGCCCAGTCCTAAAAATACTTTGTGCTGAGTAACGTCACTGCAAGCCCACATGTGGTATGTTTGTGGAACTCAGCTCTTTCATATCCTTGAAAGATATTTATTAATTCTCATCTTGTTATTGATCCAATATTCTGTGAGTTGACGTGGTGGAAAATAGCTGTGAGGTGCTCTGGTTACCCAGTATGTATCTCACTCTTCCGCTGCCATCTGTCCAATGAAATATTTTCATTACTTCATAATTTTACTGTAGGTAAAATGAAAAAAAATTCTTTCGATTATTTTCTCCTCTACAAAAGATTTTGTATCCAGCTGCAGACTCATTCAGAAGCTAGCTTAAACTGTATTGCTTTAGACAGCTGCAAGTTTTAAGCCTCAGTCTGTCAGACACTGAGTACTGCTGGTGTGTAAAACGTAGAAGGATGAAATGGAGGTGAAGCTAACTGTGCGTGAAATTGTAGTAGCAGGAGAGATTGTCCATATTTCACAGTAGCCGAAAATAGCTGCACTCCATCTGCAGCTTTCACTTATGCCATGTGATCATTTCAAGCATAGCTATAAGTGTATTCCATTAATTGTATATTATAATCTTAGGCTTATCTCAGCAATATATGTGTGTCAAAATTCCAGTCAATGTTAGGAATTAACTGTGTGATGAAATCAGCCATCCATTAATCATCATAGTTGTGCTATGTGGGATTGCAACAGCCCTCACGAATACTTCTAAATGCAGCTTTGAAATATATTTTGCACACAAAGATGTGTTGTTCTACAGCATTTGAAATGTCTATTGTCAAGTATTTCTAATGGTGTAACACTCTGCGGTTTGCTGAATTAGATAACACCTGCTGTAAGCAAAACTTGACCAGGAAATTTGAGGTATTAAAATGTATGGCATATATGGCAAACTCTTACAGGTAACATCTTAGGTGTCTACTACCTACATGCAACGTTGTTTCTAGTGTATAAGCCTTCTGTAAAACGAGGTAAACGTATTGATACAAAGAGTCCATATGCATTCTTTCAAAGTTCCTCAGAGATGGGTAATTGCCCCCCTGTACAGATTTCAGCAAAGGGGTCTGAAATATAGACATTTTTATCTTCCTTGTGCATGTATTCAGGATTGTCAAAATATAATAAGCTGTCAAAACATGATTTAATAATTTTTTTGGACTGTCTGGCCTCTGCATTGCTAAGATAACGAGAAACAATAGTATTTTTTGCCCAACTTGTACTAGATGTAACAATATACATCACTGAAATTTAAAATGGATTATTATGCCTAAGATAGAAAAACTTATGTTTTGTTTGGGTCAAAGTCACTGAAGGTTCATCTCTTGAGACAAACTAAGATAAAAGGCACTGATCTGTCTGTAGCAGGACAAGCCTTACCTGTGAGAGACTTCTTTCTATTCTGAAGTGAGAAAGAAGGTTAGAAAAACAATAAATGTGAATTTGCTAAATGTGAGTTAAAATTGTGTATGTTCATCTGTGCTGGCAAGTGGAATGTTTAATTAATTAAGTTTGACCTCCTTCATTTGAGTATACATCTGGATGAAATGACTGACTCTTATGTTTGTTGGAACAACTTCAAAAAGTGTAGTTTCCAAATTAATTAAATGCACAAAGTCAAGTAAATAGTTGATGAGCTCCATTCTTAGTGTTTTCTATCTCCAGAGATTCTTTCTGCTCTAATGAAAGCAGAGATTCCAGAGAAGAGGAGATATTTAGAGTTTATACTTCTGGAGGCAAATAGATGGCTAGATGGCAGAGCTAATCAGACAGCATATTTCAAGACCAGAGCTTGAAATCTGTTAACTTTCTATCCAATTTTTTTGCTTACGTACAAGTGCTCGCTTGGTTCAAGTACGAGCTTGTACACAGGAGTCCTTCTTCTGCAATGTTTATCCTCTATTCCACTTGCCGTTCTGCTCCCACTACAGACCACAGAGGTCCAAAGTTACCTAGCTGCTAGGTGCCTGACTTCTACATTTTCTCCTGCACACCCCCGTGTCACATTTCCTGTTCACTTGTCCTTGCACCAAACCATTGCAAAGAACAGAGCTAAAACCTTACCCACTGGGAAGAATTGTTGTCTGGGGGGTTTCAGGTCCTTGGTTTGAAAGCACAAGAACGATGATGCGATAGTGCAACAAGGAGCTGGATTGGTACCAACACTGACATAGCCTTAGGTAATACATTTCCTAATTCTCCAATCTCCAGAACGATAACACACAGCTCTGATAATATGTGCGTACATAACAGAAGAATTTCCAACCCAAAGCAGAGTTCAGAGCCTTTTCTGGTTAAATTCTGAAGATGTCCAAGGATAAAGATTCTGTGATCTTTCTCAGCAACTTAAATCAGCATTCAAACACCCATGATCCCGTGGTTGTTTTTTTGTTTTGGAATTTCAGTTAGAATTGCTTTCCTTGCAAATAAATGACTGCTTAGATTCTGCTGGAAGTACACTAATTCAAGTAACACTTTTTTTTTTTTTTTGGCTATTTGATTCTTTGTTTCCAGACTCTTACAGTTGGGCATCTCCCTTCACATAACGTGAAAGAGAACGGTTTCTTTGTAGCTAAATTTACCAGTGACTTCATTTTAGAATGATCTGTGTGGTAGCAATGGTTTTGCTGGCTTTCTGCATTTCAGAACATCAATTCATTCTGTTCCTGACAGTGAGGTTTTCTGGCTGCTGCTCTCCTAACCCACAGATTCTTGTCCCTCTTCTGTCTTTAGTGAAAGAGTAGTGTTTCCAGTTCTCTCCCTTACAGAAAATAAAACATTTTATATGTTGTTGTGTATTTCTTTATTTCAATGAGTCAAGTTTTCTATTAAAAAAAAAAAGTGAATTGATAATTTTGACAGTTCAGGAACACTATATTTAGTATTCCTGCAGTATCTAGTTCTAGATTCTGTCAGGCAGCTCTTTACTCATACATGCCTTTATATTAACAACCCATCACATTGCATGTTTTAAGACATGATGGTACTGTAAATTTTAGCTGATTGTAAAACTCATACAAATCAAGTTGAGTGTCACTTTATAAAGTATGCAGGTTCAGGCTTAGTCAGTAATTAGAGTAAATCCATATGCTAAAAATGGGGGATAGTTTAATGTATTTTAAAAGAACTTTCTTTTTTGTCACTACTGCTGTAGCACCATATGATGATGATGAATGAACAAGATGTAACCCAAGTTGTAGCTTTGTAAAGGACAAGGAAAAAGTGCAGTCTTTGTCACAAGAGCCTTAGAAAGCATACAGTTAGCAGGTTTTTAAAAAGCATTTATTTATATGGATGCAGACATGAGTCAGCCTGGAAATCATAACTAAATGGACACCAGTAATAGCTTAGAGCCTTTATTTCATTGCTTGCAGTACTATGCTCACTTTCATGAATGCTAAAACAAGCAAAGCATTATTATGAAGTGAACTAGCTTGTAAGTTAAGCATTGTGTGATGAACTGACTCGTCATGTTTGTATGCCTCCATTCTGAGTGTTCACGTCATTCTTAGTCATATTTGAACACAGTCTATGCCTTCATGAGAAAGCAATCAAAAAAGTTCAGAGCAATCTGCTCTGGACATAATGGAATGGTAGGGGCAGAAGATGTTCACAAGTATTCTCTTGTTGTGGCCAAAGTGATGCAAATAAACCTTCCTTTCTTGCAAAAGACACCTTTGTTCGAGTTACAAATGAAGTCAATTGATTTTTTTTGTCTAGCCATCTAGAGAGCAGCTGCTTGTCCCAGCATGAATCTGAACTTTTTTTTTTTTTGAGGTAGCACAGTTGGGCTTCAGTTACAGCAGCGATAGAAGCTCAAAATATTTTTAAGCATGAGTGATTTTGCTGTTTTCTTTGCTAAAACTTCATTTCTGTCAGTTACTGGCTAGGAGTTACAAAGCAGGAGTATTCTGTAATCACGTGATGTCTTACATTTTAGATCCTCACAGTGATCTTGCTTCCATAGGAATCCTTATTTGAAAGTAAAAAAAATAGACTGGAAGAATTATTTGCAGAAAAGAGAACTAAAAAATGTTCATGTTACCATTGTCCTAAATTTGCTGTGCTTACTTCTTCGTGCCCATAAAGAACATAATTGGTGAACAGATGGAAAAAGGCTATTACCCATCTATTTCTTTATACTAATTCTTGACAGAAAAACGCAAGTAATTCAGCATATAGAAACAGGAGAAACGCTCAGTGCATTAACGAGCATGCAAAGTAATATTTGAATGCAGGATTGCCAATATAATTACTGTTGGAATGCTCTTAAAAAGATAATGACTGGAGGCACAGGTTAAGTTTAAAAATCTCACTATTCAGTGTACGTAAGTCCATCTTAAAATTTTCATGATTTCAATCCAGAGAAATTTAATTATGCAAGCTAGTATCTGAGATTTTTATCTGTGCCTTTTAAATATTTTACTTTGGGGAAGAAAAAAGCTTAAAAATTGTATTTTTAATCTCTCAAGTATTATTTTATAGCTCAGGGTTTTAACATTCAAATTGTGTTTTTGTCTTAAATCTAACATTTAGTTGAAAAATCTTATATGTAGTTAAGCAAGTTTCTGAGAGGCTCTTCTACATATATTGCAGTGTAGTATTTTTAGTTCCATTTCCTGTGGAAGCAATGATTACTGATTTGCTCAGGTCAGGCAAGAAGCTGTAATTTCCTTGCAGATGAGTATAGAGTATTTCATATGTTCTGATCCATGGCATTTACACCAGTACTGAATGGAACAGGAAATCAGAAGAGTCATATTCTGAACTGCAGATGCATTCCCCAGCCACCCAGACTGCCAGTGTGGATGGGGGATGAAATTTTAATAAAGTTGTCTCACTTGGAGCTTTCTGTCACGTTGTGTCTGGTTTTCACTTCTTTTTTGAGGGTTAGCACTTATTAAATTTCAAAGTGAAAGCGTATTTTTAATTACACGTCTCCACAGGTTAAGTCAAACATTAATTTTATGTCAGCACTGTTATGTTTTTCTGTCTGGACTTTCACATTTGTTATGAAAACATTGCTATCAGAAAACAGGAGCAGAAGTATTCACTGTTTATAGAATTGAAGTAAGACTGTTTAACTGAAGCTTATTCTGTCAGCTTCTCTCTAAGAGTTCCACAGCTAGAAGGATGTGATTTGATAAACAGCATTGACAGCTATTTCTGAGATGAAAGTGCCAAGCTCTACAGTAGAAAGCTCTATTTTGGTAGCAGGAAAAATCTGCTGCTACCTTGTATTCAAGATTCACCATACTTCAGAGCCAGGTGCATGTTGCCAGACAAGATTTTAAAGTGTGACCTTATACAAGAGCAATATATTTTTTTTTTATTGAGATGCTACCTTTTATAGAACTGAAATGAACTTACACTTTGTTTTAAGGGCAGTGAATCTGGGTACCTTGCATAGGTAGCTAAGATGACTGATGTTTAAGTGCAAACATTGAGGTTAGCCCAACCTCACTTTGTTCTCAAAGACAAATAGATGAAGTATTTCAGTATCAAATCTAATGAATTGATATTGATTTCAGATCAGTAGATTACATGCCATAAGCAAAAAGTAGTTTATGCTTTTATTAACAGCTTCTGTATGTTGTTGCAGCTTTATGCAGGAGCTGTCCTAGAGGTATGTGGATGAAAATTGGGAAGGTTCCCTCAAGTCCAGGGTAAGTAAAGCCACTACTGTTCTTTAAAATACAAAATACTGCTGCAGCAAAATGTGCTTTTAAAGTGCTATTACAAGTAGCCATAAGTTTCATATATTATATTAGAAAAGTTGCACTGACCTGAGACTCCATTAATTGATAGATGAAATTATATAGTGTGCTTACAGAACTGCTTTCCTTCCACAGATGCTGCAGTTTAGTTGCTTTGACAGTCAGCTAAAGTGAACAAAGTAGAGTAGAAGGAAAATGAGCATTATCAGTGTGTGGTGGGAGAAAGCTGTAGGAAAAACATCTGTGAGAAATTTCAACATGGAATTTTTTAGGAATAGAACTTCCAAGTGTTATAATTAGAAAGACTGGCACAGATAGAATGATATTACAATTGGAAAGATTGGACATTGCAAAAGGAAAGGTGCTCACCCATCTCTGAAGATCTATGCTTGCAGGAAGGACTCCACAAGAAAAGAACCTCCAATCTCCCCCAGTGGCAGTCAGCCCTTAAATGGTGTCTAAGAGAGGTGCAGCCAGGCTCCACCCCTTCCAGTCACACAACTGAATTGCCTTCACCTGTGCTCCAGGGCTGACTGGTCTTCTCCCCAGGTGATCAATCAGTGGTTCAGCTGTGACTCAACAGTTACCATACAATGAGATTGCAGTGCTCTTTTTCAGTAATGAAGTTCCTAATACTGTGCTTAACATCACTTGGACATGGAAAAGGACTAATACAGCTTTAGAAATAAAAATGCACAAAAAGTGCATCTCCCATCTAGCATAGCCAGTATTAGCATCATCTTAATTGAAGGCGCTCCAAAGAACAAGAAATAAAAGGATTTAAAACCAGGCTGCAGCTATGCTGTTTTGGACTCCCCTCCTCCCACTTTTACCTGCACACAGTTCCATTAATTGACCACAAGGCTTGAGGAAAGATTCTTTCCTGCTGTTTAAAACACCAAAACAAAAACTAATTATATTGCTTGTGCAACTTAGGGTTCTGAGGAAACTTGTATTAGTAGAGGCAACCATGTTATCCCCGTGTCCTTTCAAACTCAGCAAACTTAAAAATATTTCCAACTGCTCTATGTGCACTGTAATACATCCCCAAAAAGCTTTCAGTACAAAGGAAAAACTTACAAATGCTAACAATTTGCCTTTCCATCCTTGTTTATCTAAAGCAGTTTTTCTTTTTGGGATGGTGCAAAGAAAGGAGGGATGAACACACCTTTTTTTTTTTTTTGCTCACCAGTTTCTGCTGCTACTCAATCTGTGTCTCGCAATCAGATTTGCTGCTAGGCTTATTGCAAAAGGAAGATAAGATAAAATTTAAAAGCATAATGGGAAAATTTTAAAAAGCAGTAGAATGTAATATTTTAGCTAGCATTATTCTTTGTAATGCCATCAGAGCCTGCTGAATGCTTTTGTGAGTGTGGCCAAGGACACCTGTTATCTTTCTCAAATAAAGCTTTTCATGATAAGTGTCAGGTAACACCTTACATTCCTGTAAACCTCTGTAGTATGTTCAGTGCTGAGATACTATTTCCGGCTCAGTTTTCCATAAGAAGAAAATGCTGCATTATAAATGCTATGCTGTAAAAATCATTCCTTTAACATGTATGTTTTGAAATTGCTCCTTATAAAACAGCTTTTAAATATTTATCATTCCATCAAAGTGGGACACTGAAAGTATAAGTGACAAAATTCTTAGATGAAATAAGATCTTCTTATACCAGCTGGCACAGACAATGAAACAGTTTTTGACTGACATAAAACTAAGGCTCTGAGGTAGAAAACAAAATTGGGTAGGTTGGCAACTAATCTAATGTATTTGTTTGAAGTTGACTTTTCAGTGGCAGCCCTGCTCTGTTCATGATGAGATACAAGATCACAATGTCTGCACTCCTATGTTCTTTTCACTGTGTTTAGCAGAACTGAATTAGGCTGGCTTTTTTCACTGAATGTCTCTTTCACATCTTGGCATTCTTTTTGTTCATCAGGAGAATAATTCTGACCTTACACTGTGTGACTTGTAGTTACACAATGAATGTGCTCCCAGCAGATGTTACAGAAAGTCCTTCATCCTTGAACTCACGCAACATGCAACTGCATTAGATCCTCTGGCTTCAGGGAGTCAGTAAGCACTCTGCTGTATTGCTCAGGTTCTGCAGCTGTGAAGGGATTCTTACAGATAGTAGAATGTAGTTTGTTAGTGGGCTGTACTTCTAGGAAAGATCACTTATTTCCTGGTTATCTTCATCTGTAGTTCTTAAGTACTGGTGACAGAAATTTGAAAGTTAGAATAATATTAAATCTTAGATTTTTGCACAGAAGTCAGTAAAATTCTTGCTAAGCAAAGTAGGGTATTCTAATGAGAAACATCCATCATTCCATCATAATCTTTTGTAAATAGATTATATACAAACATGCAAACTAAATAAATCGTTCAGATGGAGGCACATTTCTATCATTATTGCTCTCGTGTTACACACCCCATGTGTGATAATAAGAGATCAGTTATTCTCTGTAACACTTTTTGTATATGTTTAGTGTTTCTTACTTCTGAACTGTAAGAATCAGGTGTATCTAATGCACTCAGAGCTGCACAGAGTTTCATGCAGAATCATGATTCAATAAAATGTTAAGTCTTTTCTGCTTCCTATTGCTAGTATTTTAGTATGTGACCCATTTCAGTGCATCACAGAAAGACTTGAAATATTTTTCTAGGAGCAAATCATTCTTGTTACTAATTTTGCAGCATTCCTCCTTAGTGATAGAAGTGTTCCCTTCTGATGTTGCTCTTGGAGCACTGACAATTTTTTGCCCTGATCAAATGATAGACCTCTTTGGTGTAACAATTATGGGTAGGAGGGATGGTCATCTTCATCAAAAAATTATGCTGCTGCTTTTTAGTGTGTGACCAGTATCTTTAGTGTACTTTAGCTGTATGCAAAGTTGTTTATCTTCATGCAGTGTTAAGAGTTTAATAGCTTAAAGGTTCTGGAGACTAGAAAAATAGCATCAACCGAGAAGAGCATGTAGAGTTTCAAAATGTGGATGAATCCATATGGACACACATGGTTAGAAAGGTGCTCATAGTGTTACAGTGGTAAGCAGTGGAATAAATCAAAACAGATAGCACAGTTTAAGTAGCACAAGGATTGAAAGTTTGAACAAGTGGACTTTTGCATTACTGGGAGGTACTTATTCACATCAGATTCTTGCTAGATAACATGCTATAGCTTACCAAGAGGAAAAAATGTGCAGTAAAAATTTATTGCTGACATGATGCTGAAGATAATAGCTAGTTAGGACTTCTGTTGTGTTTTTCTGGAATGAAATTTGGAACTGATGTAATAGGGCAGTAAGTTTTTTTCATTTCCTCCAGCCCTTTCTGGTTGTTACATTCCTTCTGATGTGTGCGGAGATGGACAAGGTTGAAAATACTTGTCTGTGTGCATAGTTGTTCGAAGATAAGTGTGAGATTCTACTGTTGTGTATATTGACTCTCATTCAAGTATTAATAGATTAGCTTAACATTTTGTGTTTTTCCAGTTCCAGATCAAGCAGGAGATCTTTTCTCCTAAAGCAGGAAACTAAATAAAACAAGTATTTCTGAATGTAGATTGCCTTCGTAATCTGGATCGTGCCCTTAACATCTTAAAAGTAGTTAGTCGATTCTTTTTACGAAGGACTTAAGCCAAACATAGTGATCTGCAGCTTACTATGATGCAATGTGAAGTCATGACCATATGGGGTCAGAGGGATTTCCTCCAGTATGTTCTGCTTCAGAGAAAATAGCACAAGCATCTGCCAGCAAATACATAGACTTGTAGTTTGGATGAGAGTGATTCTCCAGTTCTTTAGTAATCTCTGTTTAGGATTCTAGGCCTTACTTCCAACGGATTCATTTTAAAGCTCTGTCGAAACAAAGGGACAATAGCAGTAGGTTTCTGTGTTGCATGTACGCAGAGGCTGCTCCTAGGTCCTTTAAAGCACTGTTTGACACTAGGTGTGACCTGTCTGAGTAACAGCTTGGCACTCAACAGGCTTTGTAATGTCTGTACACATCTGATCCTTTCCTCCCTTTCATGCATTCAGCAGATTGCCTCAGAGAAACCAGTAGGCTGTCTTCTGCTCCACAATCTGACCTTTTGCTGTAGTTGATCGGAATGGCAGTCAGGTCTGCTGTGCAGCCTCACCTCAGGGTTGCCTTCAAACAGAAGGCATATGCTTTGGTATTGCTTGTGTTTTGTAACAGCATAAGGTGAAGTGATTTTCTTAACATTATGTGACAGGACAGTCACAAGGCAGGCAGTAGAACAGCTCTGACTTCTAGTCTGGTGTTTAATTCACCAAAAATAGTGTCATGACACCAAGTTCAGAGTTCATCCTGCAGAAATCAAAGTGGAAAATGCCTTTCTCACTCACCCATGAATGAACTGTATTAAATACTTTTTCTCTGCAGTGTGTAATTTCTGAAGCTGCTGTGGGCGGAGGAAAATTGGAAGAAATCCAGGATTTTAATATTAAGCATCAGACTATTAAACAGTGGTGTAAATGTGTGCAAATAGCCTTAGCAGGAGTTGGGGTTGTGCAAAAGGGGGACCATGTGCACTGTATCTCAGGATCAGCTGGCAGCTGCATGTCACAAAATGTTTGCCCGAGCTGCAGCTCACTTCTGACCCCATCAATTCTATTCTAAGACCGTGTTTTCAACCTAAGAGCCTGATTTTGTGGAAAAGTGGGGTTTGACAGGATAATCTGTATTTTTAACACATCTCAATATATTAGTTTCTTAATTTAGCTTTCAAAATTGAGAATGTAGAAATTATAATGTATATATTATTAGTTGCATCATAGAAACTCAGGTGACCAATACAGAAAGTCACTATGATGAGCGTTAGAAATAAATGTGCCACTAACAAAAAATGATTTTGTTCCAGCTGTCTAAAATTTCAGGAAAGAAAGGTCTGTAGTGCTTCAGCTTTCAGAAGATTTAGACATTTGACATCGATACAAAGGCATAATAGCTACTTTTAAAGTGACAAAATGTAACACAACCTAAAGAATACTTTCTTCTTTCACCTAATTCCATCCACATTTTATGAGCTTGTTTGCTCCAACACTGCAGCCAGTGAGCAGCCACTCATGTCCAAGTGAGCTTTTCTCTGTCACTCAGCCAGGTGTGGACCTGCTGAAGGCTGAAAGTGCTGCAGCCTGAGCTAACCCCTAAAAGCTGTTCTTAAAGAATTGAGTTCCACAGTCCAGATCTGTTTGAGACTCCATTTTACTATGCCATCTTACTGCTACTCTAAGTTTTGCAATTAAATTGACTCCATATACTGACTGTTTCCTAAAACCTCCTTTTTATATTAAGTCCTACACAGTGATTTCAGCTACAAATTTTTCAATTTGCAGGGAAAAATCCCCATGTAATAGTTCAGTTCGTTGTGTACTTGAGAAACATCACCACTTTTTGTATCTTGCTAGCAGAGCCCAGACAACTAACAGCTCATGAGGGCATAGGAAAACAGCGTCTGAAAATGGCCTCGGTGTGAATTTATATCAGAGCTGAACTCCAATGTGTGAGCAAGTACTGGTGGTTTAGTGCTGTTTGAAATTGTTCTGTGAGTACAGCTTGCAATGTGACATTAAAGTTCTCCAGAAAGAAGAGAAGGAAGCTTTCTTCTTCTTCAGGTACCAGTCTGTCTAGCAGCTTACTATGCCATTCTGTTCTTAACTTGTTTATGCTGCACAGTGATTGGTACAGCCAGCAGAGCATTTGATTTTGTTCTGTACCAGGAGCACAGTAGAAGACTGGAGAAAATAAATGTCGCTCTGTATATATGTATTGAGGAAATGTTAAGGTAACTGTCTTCAGTAATAGGGAGAAAGGTATAAAGATGTCAGAGGACATCTTTACAATTATTGAGGAAAGCACTACATTTTGTGAGCCAGCACAAGGCGTTAGTCCTGAGGTTGCTGCTCATCTTCATGCACCAGCTGGATGCACTGCAATTCGCAAGAGATGCATTGTTGTCTAACCTTGAAAAGGCAGCTTTAACATGCAGCCAGCACCTCCGTGAGAGTCAATCCATGCTGACAGTGTTCATCCTTGGGGAGACTGCTGGCATACCACAAGAGCTGCCTGAATCCACTTAATGTCACTATAGATACTAAATTCAACCTTTAGTGCAACCTGAGTGTAATGGGAAATGAAGACTAAGCTATTTTCTAAATAAATTTAAAATACTTTTGCAACTCATATATTCATTAAGCTAAAGTGTTTGGAAGTAGTGGATTATGCTCACATTTTGTCCCGAAATAAGGCATGCTGTCAATATTCTTTTTAATGTTCACATTAACACAAGGATGGAGTGCTGTAGGGATACAGGGTCCGTGTGGCTGTTAGCACTCTCGTTTGTGTGACGACACTTCAGGTGAAGAATCTGTCCATTAGCAGCTGATCTCTCTGTGGAGATGCATGTCAGGTCACAGAGCCCGTGGTGAAGCTGACTGCTTGCCTTTAGGAGTTTCAAGAAAAGAGGAGATACCAACTTCTCTTCTTGTTTCCTCCTCTTGTTTCTATGCTGGTTTTCAGCACATAACCTTGGACAGCTCTGTAAGACAAAATTGTTTGTCTTGTGTGCAAGAATAACACCTCTACCCACAGTTTCCTCAGTGCCCTTTCACCAACACTGCTCCCACTTCTGTGCAGTGTGCCGAGGGCATTTGTTTCACATGTATCCTCCCACACAGAGCTCATCTCCAGACAGAGCTTTACTGCCCTAACAACTTCCTTCACATCTGCACATACAGCCGTGTATGCGTGGCTCTGCTGAGGACTATCAGTTGTCCATGCAGATGAGCTGACTCACACAGTTGCACTACCATCCAAGGAAAATCCAAACTTGTTTGGAACACCGGTAAAAATAGTTTTCCTTAGGCATACTGTTTAGTACTAATGCTTTTGTGAAGATATTGAGAATTCTGCTATTAATTTCTAAAGCCTTTTTCCAAGGGAAAGTTTGATTCTCTTCTTTTTTTCTCCATATTGTAGCTTTTGTCAGGAGTGATAAGCCTAAGCTATTCAGGGGACTGCAAATCAAGGTAAGTAATAACCAAAGGGTTTTTGTGTTTTCTTGGGGTCGGGGGAAGCATATATTAAGAAGAATTAAACCTGGTGGAAACATCCCTTTCATGGAGCATCCTTATTTGCTGATGAAATAATCCTTCAGGAGAAGATGTACTTTCATTGCCAGTATAAATCTTTCCGAGTTTCTGCAACTAATGCCAATTGGGTTATTGCTAAGCAGTGCTACCGGATCTTTGTTGTTATTGGGGCCCAAGGAGTTGTTTGTTATTTTGTTTACATCCAATAAAAAGTATACTGAAACCCTTAAGTAAAAGCAGATGTTTAAAGAACGTGAGGAATGCTTGCATTCTGACCTGATTCTGTGGATATCTTGTGTTTACTTGAGCTTCTTCTGCCATTCTCAATCTGTTCTTCATTTTCTAATGCAGCTGCCATTTCCATACATTCAGAAATTCTTGGATATTTCTCCTTCCTCAGATCTTCCTCAGTCTGTTTTGATTCTGTTAGCCTTCAAACATCCAGCATTAAAGAACTGCATACGCTGAATGGTGTTTCCTATGACTTGCATATAGGCAAAGCTGCATAAGCCACACTGCCTTAAGCACAAGCAATTCTTTGCTTTCAAATTCAATGTACTTCACAGATATACATCTCGATTCTCACATCTTTGTGCTCACATCTCTATTCACCAAATGGCACCATCTGGAGTCACTTCATAGCCATGCACGGCTGAAATAAGCAATTTGTCTTCTCAGCAGCAGATTCCATCTAAAGCAGGTTTCCTCTGTCTGTCTCATGTATTCATACGTGTCCTCTTTCAAAAGCATTCTCTCTTGTATATCTGAATGTTTCATTTTTATTTAAACTTTGTAGCTGTACTGAACATTATAGCCGTCTATACTACAACTGGTATAAAACATTATTGGGAAAAAAATGTACAAATGAATCTGGTATTTATTTTACAAGACTTTGGGAAAACCAATTAGAGATGCTGCTAGCTTCATTAACTGAAGCAAACTAGGTTAGCTCTGTGATAGGGTAAAGTAAAATACCCCTAGTAAAAATTTTTCTGTAACCTTACATGGCTACATCCTTATAGTACTGCTAAAAGCTCTTATTTGCATTACGTATTTTAGGAGTCACTCAGTTTTCAGAAGCATTACCAGCACTACCTGCAAAACATAGTAGGCACAAATAGAGCACAGTAGTAGGCAAGAAAATAATTACATCAAAAATTGATGCTATACTTTTGCACTGTTTGACCAGACAATTCTGAAGTTGTTAAAAAAAGGTCCATTGACTATATGAGAAAGATCAACTCAAAAATCAAACTTGAGGAGCTTACAACAATTAAAGTAGAATACCTTCTTTCTGTGCAAGCCTTATGGCTCTCTGTCCCTGCCCGTGCACTGTATCTACTGCTGCCAGGGGATGTACAGCCTGCAGCATCTCTGTCACTACAGCTTTAATCTGGATGTCTCCCCTCTTCCTTGCTCTTCCTTTGCATCTATTCCTTTAAGTTTGGACAGAGGAGGCAAAAGTAACATAGGAGAGAACAAGCAAAAGGATCTCATAAGCTTTATCTGATTTATATAGACATTTTCTTCAAGAAAAATAGAATATATTGTTGGTAAACATTCTATCAATAACATTCGTAAATGCAGAACAAAACACATGGCAATGAAATACTTATAGCATTAAGTAAGCATTACCAGGAACAACCAACCTTAAGTAGGGGTTCTTTTGATTTTTCCTAAGCTTAGATGGGTTTCATAGCATAAGTTGTCTTGCCTACATTTTCTCAAATACTCCAGTTTCATTTAGCACTCTGATTCGTACTCCATGGTGTTAATCTTTGAGCTTATTTCTCTTCTTGATTTGACCTCTTTGACTGATGTAAATAAATTGAGAAACGATTTAAAATGGAGAACACATTTTCTAGCCCAAGGGAACTGGCTTGTTTCTTTCCACAGTATGTGCGTGGTTCTGACCCTGTACTGAAGCTGCTGGACGACAGTGGGAACATTGCAGAAGAACTGAGCATCCTCAAGTGGAATACAGACAGCGTGGAAGAGTTCCTAAGTGAAAAATTAGAGCGTCTTTAAGTCATTGCTTTTGTGTTCCCTTTTCAGGTTTTTTCATGGTAATCATCTCAGATGAAATGTGCTACAGTTGAAAAAACATTCCAGTTTCTATGTTAATTTTTAAATACCTGTTGTGCTGCACTAAACAGCTTGTAATTGGAAGGGGAAGCTTCTGAACACATCTGACAAATTGACAAACAAAAGAGCTTTCAGTTCTTAGTGCATTTATCACTAACAAAATGCTTTGTTTCCAACTTTGTTGTGCAAATATCATTTTGTTATAATTGGACTTTTTTTTTTTTTTAACAAACACCCTTTAAATTTAAGAGCTTCAGATAATTGAAATGGTTACCATGCTCTTGTGTGCTGCTCTTTATAAACATTTCACAACCAAAAGCAATGTAACACCTCCCAAAGAACCTTGACTGCTAATACCCTCTTCTTTTTTTGTATTTGCAATATCTCTTTTTTAGAAGCATTGTTTACCATGACTATGTAGTTCACGGGTTTTGAAGCTGATGGAGGAACTCATGTTCTAGTGCTGCAATACATTTGGTAAGCACACTTTAGTGAAGACTGCATAGAAAACCTCTGAGGTATGTGCTAGTCAGATGTCAGGTGTGCTTTGCATCAAGTGTTTTGCTTCAGAGAACATGAAATAGAAGGAAAAGATTTTCAAGACCTATAATTTTCACAAATTTATTGGAATTCTCTCTATCAAATAAATTTATAAACTGTTCTTTTAAAATGTATGTTTTTCTTTCTCATTTGAAATTTACGTGCACAGGAAAATATGGACAGACAAATCTCTTATGACTCATCAGGATTTTCCCCTCCACTAAGAATGAATAAATACAACAAGCAAGAAGAATGCTTTTTTTTTTTTTTTTAAGCTTAATTACCAAAAATACATCTGTGCTTTAACGACTTCATGCTCACCAGTTTTTGGATGAATGGGTGTTACACTATAGCCTGAATCGGTACCCAATTTTATTTTTCATATATAACTTTATATCTCAAGAGATTATTTTCTTTACAGTTTACACCCCAAAACTTGTGGAAGAAATTATCAGCTTCATAGCAGATCCAGAATAATAATCTAGAGACCGAATTCACACTAAAGCAATAGAATTAGATGCTCTTAGGGTGATTCTGTAGGCCTGGCTTTCTGAGTTTTTGTTCTCTGAAACATTCCTATAAACTTTTAGAAGGTGGGTACTGCTTAGTCATTATATCATCTTATCCTCTTTCTTTTATGTTCCACTCCTATTTATTATAAGGACAGGAGTGAAACACATTGCCAGTCTCCCAAATGATTCAGCATGGGACAGCTGCAAGAGTGGTTATTGCTGTCTCTGCCAAACCAAATGCAAGCTCTACACACACACACACACAAAAAAAAAAAAGCACAAATCTTTGTAGCTGGTACTAACTTGTCCCAAGAATAAATCCATGTTGTGTCTGACATGTGATGCTCAAGTCAGCATATGAGCTGCAACCAGAACATATGGCGTGACAATCACAGCAAAAATATGCTGCCATCCACTGGTCTTTTAAAATATTGACTATACCCCACACTTCTTGTTCCTACATTTGCCAAAAATGGATTTTTGTTCCTGCACTGATGATTTACTGTTCTATTTTCAACAGAATACTTTAGCTGTGTCCTTGCCAGATCCCCTCTCTACCACTCACCAAAAGGACTGTTCATTTCATTTGATATTTAGCAAATATTTCTCTCTGCTTCTCTCTCAGTATTTCCTATCTCCTCCTCCTTACCACAACTGCCCAGTGAGTTTCTGATTTTCACCCACCATCTTCTTTCTTTCCATGTCTTCCTGCCAGCCTGCTGTTTGCACACAAGCTTCCTCCAGCACCAGGCCCTTCTCTCCTGCTCTTGCGTGTCTTGCTTGAAGCAAGGACCTCACTTTTACAGCAGACAGTAACCACCCTACAGTGGAAGAACGTGACAGACCAAAAAGATTCTCCTCTAGCATACCTGGGTTTCATGCCTGCAGCCCCAGCTGTTTCCACAGCCTGTTACCTTTCCCTGCACTGTCTCTCCCGTATTTCCAATGGGGGATCTCTCAGTTTTGATCCTATTGTCTTTTTGCTGATTCTTATTTCACGTATTAACCTTGCCTTGTAATGCAGGTTTACTCTCTTAACTTAGAAGCATGCACAGCATACATCCCTGAATTTCCCTGTCTATTGGAAAATACAGAGTGAGCTCTTTGCAGTGCTATTACTGAGCTGTGCAGCCTTGCACCTACTCAGTCTGCTAGCTTCTAGCAACAGTGTAGTCACGTATATTTCTTGAGCTGTTAACTGCTCTCTGTGCTTTTGAAGGGTCATCTTTACATTTATACTGTCCTTGCTTTATTCTTCACAATTCTGTACTTTAGATGATAGTCAGTTTTCCTCTACAGAGAAGTGCTGATATTCTAGCAAAAATGAGCTGGGCTTCATGCTAAAAGAGGAAGCTGGAGTGAGGAATAATTTCTTAGAAATTCTGAAGTTTCTGTTTTATCAGTGTGGGTTGTTTCCTCCAGTTAGCAGCTGTGAAAATTCAGAGAGCTCAAAAGGTTATTTTGGCTTGTGGCAATTAACTACATAAAACGTTAGGTTTAATGCTTCCATTTAAAAAGGAAGTGATTCATTTTACTTATAGTCATGATAGGCACCCAGTACTTCATGAAAGGCATTCACTGAGAATTATGTGAGAATGATTTAGTCTTACATAATGCTCTTATTGTGCAAAATCTTTAGAGAATTAATAAAAGGAAGAACAAAAGCTACAAGCATGCATGCATAAATCGAAATATGAAGTACCCATTTACCACTCCCATCTTTTTAGAAGGAAGTAAGGTAACTATCTTATAGGAGATAGCATTGTTTAAAGAAGAAAAAGTAAAAACATGTTATACATTCCATTTTGTATACAGATATGGTTACATAGATGAATTTGAAGCTTAGGATGCAAACTACTTGAAAGGGTTTCCTGGCAGGTACCTGCTTTCTGTAGCTTCATTATAGGTTCTGCAATGTAAATCTGAGCAGCAGACAAACTGGTTTCAGTTCTAAGAAACTTCCACGATTAAAATCATGGAAAGCAAAGAAATATTCAACTCAATCTTTGTTTTACTGTTTCATCACACAGAAAGAATAGCTAACCCCACAAAAATGTAAGGGGTCAGAAGCCTGAGCCCCTTTTGAAAATGCAACCTTTTCCTTTACTTGAAGCCAAGTAAATTTACTGTTCTTTCTCTCCAGCCAGGGAGATCAGACCAAAAACAACAGCAAAACCTTTACTGTCACTGTGCTTCAATAGCAGGGAGGCTGGATTTTTAGAGATTAATCAGCACTCCTCTTTCTGTCCATTAAGGCAAACAGGCTTTATCTAACTTCAGATAGTTTCAGGAGTGCATGTGAAGCAACAAGGATCATTTGATTGTTCTTCCAGTAATTGTAAGGAAGTTTTGGACAAAGCACAACATTTTATTTGCTACAGATGCTTTGACAAACTGACAAAGGAAGCGGACTTGGAAATTTGTCAAGTATACCTGAGAAGGATCCATCAAATACTAAGTTGTAGAGTTTTTACAGAATATTTGTAAGAAAAGCAGCTAAAGAAAACACCATCTCCTGAATTTCTATGTTTCTCCTTGAGCTTTTAACTATTAAGGTCCAACTCAATTATCTTGAACCTAATTCGCTGTCATTTCTAGGAAGACTAGCCCAAGGGATGAGATAGCCAAGGAGACAAAGAACAGACAGCCCCACCAGTATGTTACATTATTGATCAGCTCTGGTTCAGAACAGCAGGTCTCCCAAGTGCACTCTTATAAGAAGTCAGAGGGTAGCTGGAGAATATTTTGGTTTTTTTCCCCCTTATCTTTTGTCATAAAGGATAGATAGAAGGAAATACAGTCTGAAATACTTGCATAGTAAACTTAGATAGAACACAAACTACAAAAGCAGTCAGAATATCTCACATTTGCTGATTTAAATAGGAACCGTGGCACTAGTGAATGCAGGCTGGCTCAAGGAGATCCTAGCTATCTCAGTTATTTTTTGAAATGGATTCCTGATGCTGAAGTAGGCCATTCAGCTTTGTTGCTAAAAAGAAAGGTATTGAACAACACATTTCAGTTGCACTTGTACACAGGATGCCTTAATTAAAGCAGCATTTGTGACCACTAACACAAATTTAACAAGACTTCTAACCACTGAGAAATAAAATATATTTTTCTACGTTTCCACTACTAAGATAACCAAGATGAACAGGTTAGTCTAAAGAAAAGTAGTTGTATGTTCATGTACCAAAATACAATCACACACGCACAAAATTACGGGTTAAAAAACAAGCCAGCAGAATCAAACACCAGAGACTGGGAAAGTTCAGCTTTGTCTTGTTTTAAATGTGTGATTTACTCATCAGCATAGGAAAGCAATCACTGCTGTGATCACAGCACACTATGAGAATTTCGTAGCTCTCAGTATTCTTTGCAAGATGTTACTCTGGTGAAGTTCCACTATAAATCATGCTGGATGGAATGGGAGGGAGTAGATCAATCTTGCTGTAAAACCAGAGATTCATCTACAAATATATTTGCTCATTTCTGTATAATAGTAACCCTCAGAAGAGCCTGTGTTGGCATTTGATTTATAGAAATAATCGAATAATGGATTTACAGTGCAGAAGTTTCCAAAATGATTAACTAGAGCAGCTTCAAATTTTTCCTTAGAAGCAGGTCAAGATGCATCCCTCAGTAAGTTTAATGCCATTATTTGCAAGTGTTCCATCCTGAAAAGACACTAGATAATTCTCTTGATAATGACCATTTAGGGTCAGATTTAATTAGGTTACAAAGGAGCTTCCCTGACTCCTCTGCTAACTTCAAAGTGAGACCTGTGGGACAGCACATCATTCAAAATATAAGGACTAGAGGGGTGGTCCAGAAATTCCATGGCATTTTTCCACACTTGGGGCCAAGTTCTGGCTAGCAGTGCAATTCACATTTTGGTATAGCCCATTTTTTTTTAACCCAGTATTAAACTCAGAGTTATTTTAGTGGAACAATGGCCTAAATTACTGACTAATGCATTTAGCCCTGAAACATGGGCAGAGACAAAAGTCCACTTTCCACTGTTGTAGATTTATGTAATTTCAAGGAAAAGCATCTCTCAAATCTGTTACTAGACTACAGTCACTGACCATGCTTTAAATTCCACCAAAAAACAGAGATTTGGGGGGCAGAAGGATAAGCATAGAATGAGATAATCAAGATACATTTTACTCTGCCTTTCTCACTAAGCAGGCAGTGACTTGGTTTTTCCCACCCGCATTTTAGCCTACCTGGCCCAGTTTCTGGAAAGCTCTGACCTTCACTGAGGAGAGACCTTGAGAATAGGCAGACATCTGTCTGTGGCTAAGGTGAGCCATCCAGAGCCTCTGCATTCACTCAGTGCCACCAGAACCCAGCTGCAGGCTGCGACTTGTAGTGCTGCCAGCTTCCTGCATCTCCTCAGTCTGGCTGAGCACAGCTATAATGTGACAAACCACGACTTCCCCAGAACCCCAGCAGCAAGTAAGACGACACACTCACCCATTCCACTCAGAATTCTGCTATAACTTGCAAGTGTAAAGAACAGAGACATCAGCATTTTTATTATTATTTTTAAACTAGAGCAAATAAGGGTTAGATTCAAAATACACAGGATTTTGCATAAGCCAAC